AGAGACACAGTAATTATGGGAGATTTCAATCTCCCGTAATTACTGTGTCTCTCCCCTGAGATATCCTTAGAATCTGGTCTGTCAGGACATCATCCAGGGTCTCAAGTTGACCTGGAGGGCAATAACATATCCCCACTGTCAGGCCTCTTTCCCTGTCAGAACCCCTAAGTTTCACCCAGACTGCCTCTACCGAATCCCCATCTGTGCTGCAATCTATCTCACTGCATCCTATCCCTTCCCTGAAGTATAAAGTTACGCCCCCACCCCTCTTTCCCTTCCTGTCCTTTCTAAAAAGGTGATACCCCTCTATGTTCACATTCCAGTCTTGCCTTTCATCCTGCCATGTTTCTGTGATTCCCACCAGATCATACCCTCCTATTCCCAAGAGAGCTTCAAGCTCTTCCTGCTTGTTACCCATGCTCCTAGCACTGGTGTACATGCACCTCAACTCCTTCCCACCGCTTCCTTTCCTTGGAGTTCCCGGCCTCCTCCTTCCTCCCACCTTGCCTGATACCTGGCACCTCTCTGTAGGAGTCCTGTCAGTCCCTGCAGGTCCTCTAAAAACCTGCTCCCAGAGCCCTGATCCTCTCCCCACACTTGTCCAATGCAGACACGTTTCTGGGGGGCCTGAACACCCCCCCCCACCAGCTCAGTTTAAAGTCTTCTGGACGAAGCTCACTGGAGCATCTCCAAAGGACCTTTTCCCCATCCTCGTGAGGTGTAACCCTTCCCTTGCCAGAAGTCCATTGGCAAGAAACCGAGTGCCGTGGTCAAGGAACCCGAAGCATTCCTTCTGGCACCACACCCTAAGCCAGTCGTTCACCTCGGAGGCCCTCCTGTCCCTGCCTGGCCCAAATCCCCGGACAGGTAAGATCGACGAGAAGGCCACATGGGCCTTTAGCTCCCTGAGTTTCTTCCCCAAGGCCTCCAAGTCCCTGGTGATCCCGCCCACACCCTGCCTGGCCACGTCGTTTGTGCCACATGGATCACCAGGAGCGGCTGGGACCCCCGGAGCGAACGAGACGCTCCACTCTGTCCTTCGCATGCTGGATGCGTGCGCCCGGCAGGCAGCAGACCTCCCTTTTCTCCAGGTTGGGGTGGCACACCGCCGGCTCAGTGCCCCTCAGCAGGGAGTCCCCAGCGACAATCACCCGCCGCCGTGTCTTCCCGGTGGTGGTGGGTGGCCGTGTCCTGGCCCTCGCCTCTTCTGCAGTGGCCCCCTTGCCGCTTGTGGTCCCAGGCTGGGGGTCCTGCTGGTCCCCCGAGGCCCCTGCCTCCCCAAGCGGAGAGAACCTGTTTCCCAGATCCAGATTGGTGACATGCCTCCATGTCTCCCCGGCTGCTCCTCCCGTGGCCCCCCTCAACCCTTTGCCCGGAGGGGGGCTGCTCCCGGGGGGCCTGGAGAGCTCTCTCGGCCCTCAGGCCCCTCAGCTTCTCCTCTAGCAGGACCACCTGCTTGCACGAGGGCAAGTGTAGCCCTGCCTCTCCCGGGGGAGAAGGGCGAACATGTCGCAGCTGTCGCAGCGGCAGCAACACCCGTGCCTCCCGCCAAGGCCGTCTCCTGGCCTGCCATTGGGAACCCCTCAGAGACCCTTCCTTGGTCCCCCGCCTTGTCTGTCCTGCAGTTCCCCTCACTCGCCCAGTTCTCCCAGGGAAAAACCCACACATACACGCAAGGATAAAATAAAAATTTAAATTAAAAAACAAAAAAGGGAGTCCCAGGCAGCCCGGGCCACAGCTCAGCCCTTGCCACGTCGCCCTCAACACATCACTGCTGGAAACAAAAACCCTCAGCCTCCGAGGGAAGGGAGTCCCTGGGCAGCCCGAGCCGCAGCTAAGGGACGACGCCAAGAGGCCAGAGCCAAGAGGGCTGGCAGTGGCCGAGCATGGCCTTATCAGCCCCTCAGGCCGGTGGCCCCACCCCCTGCTCTCTCCTGGCCCCTCTAGCCTCTCCGGCCCCGCCCCCTTCCTCTCGGCTGCTCCTGGCCCCCTGCTCCCCTGCCCAGCCCCTACCTTGCCTTCGCCAGGCCCCTGGCCACTCAGCCCTCTCTCCCGCCTGTCCGCTCCCTCCTGGCCCCTCTGGCCCCGCCCCCTTCCTCTCCGCTGCTCCTGGCCCTCTGCTCCCCTGCCCAGCCCCTACCTTGCCTTCGCCAGGCCCCTGGCCACTCAGCCCTCTCTCCCAGCCTGTGCCTCTGCTGCTGGAACCGGGGTCCCATTTATCTGCCTACAGCCCCTTCGCCACTGGCTGCCAGTTGGCGTCTTTACACTTGCTTGATCAGGCCCCTCAGCCAAATTCTTGCTTCATGCTTGGACAATGACACAAGTCCAAAGGCTGCGAGTTCTACTGCTTGGGCAGGGTGAGTTGAGACCTGGACAGAGTTAAGAGGCCTTAAGCAGGCAGGGGAAGTGTGAGGCTTGGGTTTGGTCCAGCTTTCAAAGCTGCTTTGTCTCGCTTGCATGCTGGGTTAATGGCCTCCTCTTGCCCCTCAGGCCTTGGAAGGAGAGCTGAGCACCCTGTCAGCTTCAGTGAAACGGGATCTGGAAACAGCAAAAGCAATTGTGGCCAGGCCTCCCCGAGAAGTCCCCGAGCAATTACTGAAAGCCTTGGAGAAGGACGCCAAGAACCTTCAAAAGTCTTTTGGCTCTGTGAGTGAAGCCTTGAACTCGTGGCTGCTCACCCTTCGCGCTGCAGCAGAGGCAGAAAAGGTACTGCTCTCCATGGGGCTGGGAAGCTTAACAGCTGAATGGAGGCAGGCAATCATTGTCTTATTCAAAGAGAGTTCCTGTGCTACGCAGGAGGGGTGTTTTGCGACACGCAGGGCAGTTCCTGACTCCCCCACTAAAGGGGGACATGAGCATTCCAATATGTGCACGCTTGCAGACCCCACGTGAGCTGCGGTCCCAGATTCTCCCCTGCAGGCGGGGCGTCTGTGTGTAGGGCTTTTCTCTCAGGGGGAGCAGCCAGAGATGCAGGCCGGCCCCAGTCCCACCTGCACTGCTTGGCTCTGCGGGTGATACGAATCGGCAGGGGCTGCACGGGCTCGATGGTGCCGCTGCGAACGTTGCGAGGCCTTGCTAAACCTTGAGCGCAGTGTGCTAAGTCATGTCCATGGCTTCCCCTCGTAACCAAAATGGCAAGGTGCTCGAGCTTTAGTGCTGATGCTGCGATTCAGGGTTCCATCCCTGTGTTGCGTGAAGGATGGCAGGGAGCACCCGCTGTGCCAAGTACGAGCTCCAGCTTTGGGAGCCACGAAGGGGCAGTGCCATTTTTCAGTCAAGCGCTCACGGGGGGCAGGGAGGGTTCGGGAATGAGGCCGAGCGTGCGTGGGGCATTAGGGCGAAGCAAGTGCCGTCCCTGGAGATGCAGCGCTCCAGCCACGTGTAGGGCTTTTGCCGTGTGGGTCGTGCTACCAGGTCAACAGCTGCTGCTGCCAAGACGCAGTTATGCCCTTTCTTGACTCCTTCCAGTTTTCCTTCACGGTGGCCTAGCGGTTGTGGGAATATGGGTGCTAGCTAAGTTCCCTTTGAAGTGGGAACTTGGCTGTTGCCACTTCCCTGTTCCTGGCTAATGAAGCGCTGGCTGTTATTTTCTGAGCTACTGGGCAAGGTGAAGAGACCCCACATAAAAAGTGAGGAGAATGCCTCCCTCACTTGGGGAGAGTCCAAATTCCTGAGCCGTCACTTGTGCTTGGGGCGCTCCCTGAGCTCAGCCCCTGTGCCCGGCATGCATCTGGGCTTGTAGGTGAGTTCAGCCCCTGGCCTGTTTATGCAACGGAAGAGGCACTGCGCAGGGTGACCGCCCCCAGTACGTCACGAGTCCCATGTGACCAAAATGGCCGTGCAAAAGATGTCCCAATGAGGTCATCACAGTTCTTAAAAATACTGGGAAATACTACTATTTTAACCTTTTTTCAGAATGTAATAACCAGGTTTTTTACTTCATGTGTGCTTTTTTAATCACGTGGATCCTCAGGGAGAAGATGTCTTTTTGCTTCAGAAATTGGCCTGTGTTTTGTGTTAATCCGTAATCTTGGCACAGACCAGCTAAAATGACAGTTTTCATTAAGGGCTGATAGCTTGGCTAGTCTTGGTTTGCCCTTCAGCTCAAATTCTGGTTTCAATCTTTATTTCTGTTTTTGTTTTGAGGCGAAAATCCTATTGTGGCATGAAAAGCTGCAGAGCCGACTGCAGGAGCTGCTGAGCTGGGTAGCCGACACCTCCCAGTTTCTCAGCAGTCTGGAATCCCGCCCCACCACTGATGCCAGCAGCCGGAATTCCTGCCTTTGGAGCTACATGGTAGTCATAGCAACACCTCTGGATAAGCCTGGCTGGGGCGGGGGGGGGGGTGAGGTCAAGCTCCCACAGGGAGAATCTCCATTAATCACATCTTTTGTGGCTCCCCTCCCCCGCACCCCAAGCCAAGGAGCTTAATTTCTGTACCTCCTGCCCTTGGGGCGTCACTTTTGGCCGAGCTGCTCCCTCATCCTGCACTTCTGGCCATGAACCGCAGCATGCCCTGACGTCTCCATATTTGCGGAAAGCACTTGGCCAACAGGGAAGGCAGCTGCTTCGACCCCTTCTGGTGCACTTTCCAGCCACTCTTAGCACAAGGAAGACCGTGCTGGTTTGCGTTAATGGACGGCGGCTGCCCACCTTTCAACGCCATACTCTGGAGCGTGCATGGGGGAGTTCAGGGCGGCCTTTCCTGGAGACCACAGTGGATGACGGGAGGGAGGCCGCTTGCCACTGCCTCCCCCCCTGTCCAAGATGCTGGTCAGCAGCCCGCATCTCCTCTCCCTTGCCCAGCCCCCTGGCCGGCCGTGGGGCCCCCTCGCGAGCTAGCAGAGCCTGGACTGCATGGGAAGGGCGCTGCTCCACGCCGGCCTTCCGAGCTGCCTGCAGGATGCGCGTGCGCAGGGCTAAAAATAGGCCCCGATGGCCAGTTGCCCCGGCGGTTGTTTTCCTCCCTCTAAAATGCTCCGCCACTGTTCCGCCTACGGCATTTTCATTGTCTGTGACTGCCACGAGTTATAACCATCTATGGCCATGAATTCGGCCGACTGATGCGTTGTTTGAAAACCGTTTCCTCCTGTTTGTCTGGAACGTCAGGAGGCCATTTGGTGTGCCTGAGCTCGCTACCGGTTCCCCTCAGAAAGCTCAGCTAGGAAGCCAGGCCCTTCCCTGGCTGGGGAAATAGCGGCCCTGCTAGCCGCTCCCTTTCCCCTTGAGATAAAGTGTGGCTTGCCGTTTCATTTTCGAATGCACACACAGAGCGTGTTGAAAGCGAGCCGAGGCTCCTGTGGGAGCTGGGACGTCTCCCTGCCCTCCTCGTGCCCGGCCCCAGGCTGCCTCTGCTCCCTGCCTGCCTCCGGCAATGCGCTGAGCCTCCTGGGCTTCGAAGCACACGGCCCCAGCACATCGCTTGCGACTAATCAGCCCTCTCAACAGGCCTGGGCTTGTCGGAGGCCTTCTGGGCCACCCTCGGGCTTGCCACACCCAGAGGACGCGCCGTGCCCAAGGCTCTGCTGGCCTGCCGTGGAGCCGCTTGGTCCGAGGGGGAAACGGGCTCCCTCTCGGGCCAGGCAGCTTGCTTGTGGCTCTCCAGCCCCACACAGGAAGGGTCTGGAAAGAGTGATCGGCCCACAGCAGCCTGCAGTGGCCCTGGGCACGTCCCGGGGCCAAGGGGGGAAGAGAGGGTTCGGGAGCCCTCCTCTGCAGGATCAGGGAGGGGCCCAGCCTAAACGGCTGCAGGGGGTGGCCTGGGAGCCCCAGCTGGTTTAGCACGCCGTGCCAGCCCGCCACCCACCCTCTCCCAGTCGGTCCCTTCCCCTCTCACTGGCTGCCAGGGAGCTGCTCTGCTTTACAGTCCCTGGCCACTCACTCAGATGGCTAATGCTCAGCATACATGTCACATAAAAAACCAAACGAGCCAAAGACTGCTTTGAGAAAGTAGCTTTGGATGGGTATTATCTTCTGGCCTCTCAGGGAGAAGATGCACCACTCTGCCTGTGTGAGTTGCCTCGTATCTGGCAGAAGCTGCAGACTCGGGAGCGTTCGTGTTGACCCTGTTTTTTCTGTTGCCCTCTCTTGGCATGGTCAGGAGCAGAAGAAGGCCCTCGCAGAGACCAAAGCTCAGCTCGAGGCAACAGCCTTTGACCTCCAGTTCTTCATTTCTGAGCATGCTCAAGACCTGACCCCTGAGCAAAGCCGGCAGCTGCTGAGGATGCTGAACAAACTGCAGGGGTCATTCCGGGAGCTTTCCGAGAGGCTGGTCGCACGGGCAGAGGTCCTGCAGGTCTGTCTCCAGCAAGTGGAGCAGACAGATCAGGTGACGGTGCTGGGGCAGCAGGCGCTGCATCTAACGGGGACCAGCATGTGTGCCTTTTCTTCTCTTAACACCTCTGGCGCTCTGCACATAACTTTTCACGCGTACCCCTCTGCAGTGAAGTCATGCCGTCATAACAGCAGTGCACTGGCTGCTGGTTCCATGCAGAGGGAGGCTTAATTTCTCTGTCTCGCTTTCCTGTGACAACTTTCTCTGGGCGAGGGGAGGGTAAGCAATTATTCAAGGTAAGAGGCCATTTTGAGAAGGTTTTGCCCTTGCAATAAGGCTGAATTTCCGCTCCTGACATGGAAGGCAAAAGTGATGTCCTGGGTGGAGTAGGAGGAGAGAAGGGGAGATTTAAATCCAGCACATGAGCAGCTGAAGCGTCATGGGGCAGTGGCACACTCAGTATTTGTTTGCTGCCCTCCAGAGATGTTTTAAGTGCTCACCTGCACATACGAAGTATGACTGCAGTAGACAATAGGCAGTAACTTAGATCAGACACATACACTAACTTTGGGCTGTCGAATGTGCCCACGCATGCATTCCTGGTGGAAAACCTGGACCGGTTTTTGGATGCTAAATTGTTTGTTTGGATGCTAAATGGGTGTCAACTTCATGCCTTGAAAATGCCGGCTTCTGGGCACCCCTGTAGCTCCCCTGACACTCACACATGAATTGTAGAATGGTAGAGTTAGAAGGGCTCAGGAAGGCCATCGGGTCCTGCCCCTGGCTGTAACTCCTATCTGTCTCTCGCCCTGGGAAGGTGCACGCAAGCTCCTAGGGAGACAGAGAACCGAAGTTAAGAAAGCACGTCCATCCTAATAGCAGCAAACTGGAGATTATGTAGTGAAATGAGGACTAGGGAGAGATGGTCATTTGCTGAACTGCCCAAGAAATGGCAGCCAGGCCCCAGGTGAAGGCAGGGGTTGTGCGCCCTAGCATTCCGTGGAGTTTGGATGAGGTGGGGGAGCCACGAGCGCCGAAGTCTGTAGCCCCGGCCTGCACCATGCGAAACCGTTGGCCGCTTTGCAGATGGGGGGCGACGGTGCCAACCCTGCCCTGCCAGTGGCTGCCACAGAGGCTCCTGCCTCAGCCCTCCCGCCGGCAACAGAAGGGAGGGTCAGGAGTGGGGATGTGGATTTCTGGAAACCTCTGCGGTAGGATACCTTCCTGGAACGTCTCTGGCAATTTTTCTGACACACTACCTGGGATCTGACTTAGCATGCCGCTGGACTGAACTTAAAATCCCATGTGCACCATGTTTTTCCGACTAAAATATTTCACGAGGGTTTTGCTACAAGTGAGCTTCCTTATTTTTATTTTTCCCCCTTAAGCCCGTTTTTGTGGAACATCTAAGTTCAGTGGGATTTACTTTTTGGTAACGGTGTTTTGAGTGTTTTTGTGGCTTAAATTGGAATATTATTATTAATAATCGGAAATTATTTTATTGAACATACTTGTAAATATTTTAAGACATAATCACAGTATACATTTTCTTACCATGTATATAAACATGTATATACACATTTAAGAAAAATATGAAGGCACTGGAAACAACATACGAATCTTAGCCTGCACAAGCAGCAGTGCATTCATTTGAAAATTTCCTGAGAACAGTCCCATGAAATAAAGTTAATTACAGCTTTGAAATTGCCTAATTTGACTGACACTTAATCTTTCACTTTAACTCCTTTTACTGATTTATATCTAGAGATGTACAGTGGAAATTTTGGGAACACAAACAAAACCTCTTTTTAAATCAGGACCAAAACTAGACATAGTGCTAAACTGCATCTCTGGGAAGCACGCCAGTGGTTCCTTCGTTAACGGCAGGAGTGGGAAGGTGGTGCTGCCCATCTGGGCTCCGTTTCCCCAGGACTGATAGCAGCGACGGGTGGGGAGATAACAACTGGGAGAGGGGAAGAGTGAAGTCTCTCCAGCTTTTGTCCTGTGCTCTTGATTTTAAAAATGTTTTTGAAAAATGATGCACTTCCGGGTTTAGCATTCCGTCTGTTTCTGCCCTTAAGTAATGCACCTTGGCAGAGCAGGCTGCTTGCTTGCATAATCTGTTCTTGCCGTCCGGTAACCGCATGCCCTCCTTTCTCCGTCAGGCACAATTAATACAAGTTGTGTTTTGTTTAACAGTTGCCCCTCTGTAATGTCTGCCTGTTCTGCCTCTTGTCTTGGTTTGTATTAACTAGTTTGCTTTGCCTTTTCAGATTCAGTGTATTCTCATCCCTAATGGGAGAAGAACTCATTCTGCTGCCGAGGAGGGCTTTTGTAGAAACGCTCTTTCTCTGCTCAAACGGCTTCTGTTGTTTGGCTTAAAGACTGTCAGAGAAAAGCGCTTTCTCTCGTTTGACACACGTTTGTATGTTGTGGTCATCAGGCGCCAGGGGAAAGAGAAATGGCGCATTAGCTGAAAGGATGGTCCAGGGTGGCACATCATGCTCAATCGCTCCAGTGATGCTCTGTTGGCTATGCACCGAGAGGATGATTTGGGCTCGGTTTGGCACACTGCCCCAAACTCTCTCTCTCTCTCCCTGCTGTCCTTGACCCCAGAATTTATGTTTCTGGGCTCACAGCAGTTCTGCAAGGTCATTTGCTTGCCTCCCAAGTCCCCATGTATCTTTTCTTCTTGTGACTGGGATGCAGAAACGAGTCTGCAGGCACAAGCTGGGCAATCAGCTTCCCATCTCGGGGGCATAAACAGCACTGCTTTCTACATGGCAATTATGTATGCTTAGGTTCAAGGGCTGTAATTGTTTTCTCCTCAGTGGGAGAAAAACAAATGAAAAACATTACCTTGGTACGTAAAATTGTCAAGGACTTTTCAGGGAAAGTCTATGGGAAGACCAGATTTCTGCCACCGCTCTTGCATTCCTGCAGTGTCCCCAAAGATGCTATCATCTGTTTTTCAAGTATCAGTCAAGGAAAGGGCATTGGGTCAACCCCAGTCATTGCACGAGTGGTTGCTTAAACATGAAAGAAAGGGGGAAATTAAGGAAGGTGAAAATATTTGGATAGCAAATGACCCAGTTTGCAACAAGCTGCACACTGCTATTCCAGACCCTGTTGGGAGCAGAAATAGTCAGTGGCAGGTGAGAGAGAGAGAAAGTGGGACAATTAATCTTTTAGGCCACGACTTCTGCTAAAGTGCTTTGTGTTTTGACACTCGTCCGACTTGTATTTCTGTTCTCCATTATGTAATTGAGAGGCCTTAACAGGCTCCTATTTGTTTTTAAAACTCCCCAATTCTAAACAGACACTGCAAGAACAGGAAGCAATGCACAGCCGGAAACTGGAAGAGCTGCGTGCCTGGATGGACCAGGCTGAGAAGCAGCTGCTGGATCCACAGGGAGTAGCCGGTGAAGGAAACCTCTCCGTGCTGGAGCAGTGGCGGTGTGATGTGAAGGCAAGCGTGCATGTGTAGAAAGGGTCAGGGGTGGAGAGCACGTGGGAATGCTCAGTTCCTGGTCTCAGCCCCCCCTCCATGACCTTTCAAAAACGTCAGCTGGGGCTGAAGGAAGCTGCCTCTTCTGGCAACCCGGCTGGGATGCTCTGGCGCTTTTGCGTGCATGTTCAGCCAGTCTCTGACCTGAGACATCATTATCTCTTGGTCACGATTCCTGGGCAAGCTGCCATGATGGCTCCAGACTAGGATGGCTTTGAAGAAAGGGATCCAGCACATTCCTGAAGCAGTAGGCTGTCGGCGGCTCTGTCTCAAAAGCAGGGTGCTGAGTGCAAATCCCCGTCCTGCTTGTGAGCTTCCCAGAGGCAACTCTTTGACCACAACGGGAACAGAATTAGGCAGCTTTTGGCTCTGAATCCAGCAGGCCCCTCTTATGTTCATGGTGCTTGACGTGACCCCTGAACCGCTCAGAGCCATGTTCCCACGTGCTTCCCGGCTTTCCTCTGCTCGCAAGGGCCTTGCGTAACCGTCCTCGGGGAGCAAGGATATGGAGAGTGGGTATTCGGCCACTGGCCAGACTGCTAGAACTGCCCTGGGACTCACCTGTCCAGGCAGGTTCCAGGAGAGCAAGGGAGCTTGGCTCCGTGGAGGGTTCTGTGCATGGCCTGCGGATCGGTCCCAGCAAACTGCTCCAACGTGGTGTTTTTTACCGACACATGCAACATTGCCCTTTCCTTCAAACGGTGCGTGTTCTGACTTGTGGGCTTTCGTGCATCATGCGGGTGCCTGCAGTCAATGCATGTATTTACTATGGTATGGAATTTATTTTTTAATAGGAGGTGTAAGGGACATTTTTGTACAAGAGGTAGCAACTAAAGCCATCCTAAAGAAAAAGAAATGAAAGAAAGCAAAATGGCTGAGGAAGCTTTACAAATAGCTGAGGAAAGGAGGGAAGCGAAAGGCAAGGGAGAAAGAGAAAAATACACCCAATTGAATGCAGAATTCCAGAGAATAGCTAGAAGAGATAAGAATGCCTTCTTAAATGAACTGCGCAAAGGAATAGAAGAAAGCAATAGAATAGGGAGGACCAGAGATCTCTTCAAGAAAATTGGAGATATGAAGGGAACGTTTCATGCAAGGATGGGCATGATAAAGGACCAAAATGGCAGGGACCTAACAGAGGCAGAAGAGATTAAGAAGAGGCGGCAAGATTACACAGAAGAACTATACAAGACAGAGCTGAATGTCCCTGATAACCACGATGGGGTGGTCACTGACCTCGAGCCAGACATTCTGGAATGTGAAGTCAAATGGGCCTTAGGAAGTCTGAGCAACAACAAAGCTAGTGGAGGCAACAGTATTCCAGCTGAGTTATTCAAAATCCTAAAAGACGATGCAGTAAAAGTGCTACACTCAATATGCCAGCAAATTCGGAAAACTCAACAGTGGCCACAGGATTGGAAAAGGTCAGTTTACATTCCGATCCCAAAGAAGGGCAATGCCAAAGAATGCTCAAACTACCGCACCATTGCACTCATTTCACATGCTAGCGAAGTTATGCTCAAAACCCTACAAGCTAGGCTCCAGCAGTATGTGGACTGAGAACTACCAGAAGTACAGCAGGATTTCGAAGAGGCAGAGGAACTAGAGATCAAATTGCCAACTTACGCTGGATCATGGTGAAAGCTAGGGAGTTCCAGAAAAACATCTCCTTCTGCTTCATTGACTATGCTAAAGCCTTTGTTTGCGTGGATCACAACAAATTGTGGCAAGTTCTTAAAGAGATGGGAGTACCAGACCATCTTATTTGTCTCTTGAGAAACCTATATGTGGGTCAAGAAGCAACAGTGAGAACTGGGCACAGAACCACTGATTGGTTCAAAATTGAGAAAGGAGTTTGGCAAGGCTGTATACTGTCGCCCTGCCTATTTAACTTATATACAGAGCACATCATGAGAAAAGCGGGGCTAGATAAGATTGCTAGGAGAAATATCAACAGCCTCAGATATGCAGATGATGCCACTCTCATGGCAGAAAGTGAAGAGGAACTAAAGAGCCTCTTGATGCGGGTGAAGGACGAGAGTGCAAAAGTTGGCTTGAAACTCAGCATTAAGAAAACTAAGATCATGGCATCTGGTCCACTCACTTCCTGGCAAATAGATGAGGAAGAAATGGAGGTAGTGACAGATTTTATTTTCCTGGGCTCCAAGATCACCGCAAATGCGGACTGCAGCCAAGAAATTAAAAGATGCTTGCTCTTGGGGAGGAAAGTTATGGCAAATCTAGACAGTATACTAAGAAGCAGAGACATCACCCTGCCAAAAAAAGTGCATCTAGTCAAGGCTATGGTTTTCCCAGTTGCAATGTATGGCTGTGAAAGTTGGACCATAAGGAAGGCTGAGCGCCGAAGGATTGAGGCCTTTGAATTGTGGTGCTGGAGGAGACTCCTGCGAGTCCCTTGGACCGCAAGGCGACCAAACCGGTCAGTCCTAGAGGAGATCAACCCTGACTGCTCTTTAGAAGGCCAGATCCTGAAGATGAAACTCAAATACTTTGGCCACCTAATGAGAAGGAAGAACTCCCTGGAGTAGAGCCTGATGCTGGGAACAATAGATGGCAAAAGAAGAAGGGGCCGGCAGAGGATGAGGTGGCTGGATGGAGTCCCTGAAGCAGTCAGCGTGAGCTTGAGTGGACTCCAAGGGATGGTGGAGGACAGGAGGGCCTGGAGGAATGTTGTCCATGGGGTCGCGATGGGTCGGACACGACTTCGCGACTAACAACAACAACAAGGGACATTTTTAACTACTCTAGGTAGGGTTCATGATAAACGGCAACCTTAAATAAGTGAGCCAAATCACTGTTAGGAGGAGTGCCGGTTTTATCATGCCAGATATGTGAATGCTTTTGTATTTGATTGTGCTGGGTTTTTATCAGAGTTTTATATTTTAATGGCATCTTAAACCTGTATTTTATAGGTGTCTTACAAAGGTAATAAAGGGGTCGTCGTTCTTTTTGTCACTGCCCTCAGGACCTCCAGCAGAGTGTGCACAGCCGAGCAGCTTCCTTTGCAAGCACCTTGAAAGCCGCAGAGGAGTTCCTGGAGGAGAACCGAAGCAAGCTGGATCCTGGGGAGCTGGCATCCTTGCAGGAAGGGCTCGATCAGGCGAAGGAGCAGCACCGGTCCCTGCTGGAGAGGGTGGAGGCGGCACAGAAGGAACTCGAGAGTGCTGTGAGCTCCGCAGTGCAGCAGCAGACGGAAAAGGTAGCAACGAGGCCGTGGCCCTCGCCCACTTCCCTCATGGACAGGCACCCCCAGGCCAGACCATTTCTCATACAACTGGCAGTTCTCCAGCCGCGGGTCCATCAGATGCCCTTGTATTAATGCATGTCACGTCCTCTCTCTAAGAGTGTTAGTACGGCTTTCATTGACCTTGTTCGCAGAGTCACCACAGCCCACCTCTAGGCACCATTTTGTCCATTCAAACCATGGCATCTGACCCTAGTGAAGGTGGCACGCTGGGGTGCTTAACAAATAGCCCCACAAGCAGCAATGTGGGATGTTATTGTCACCAGCCCAGCAAGTGACCCTCTTTGGGTCAGTGAGGAGGGTCAGCCAGTGAGGGTAATTTTGCAGCAAGCACATGCAGAGTAATTAACGAGCCACAGTGCCCATAAACCACACTGTGATCAGGCGTACCAGGCCATTGGTTTGTAGAATGTTGAATAGCCACTCAACTGTTTGCTGGTGGTTTCAGGGTCTGGAAACCCGTGTCATCGAATCTGGACCCATAAACCAACTTTTTCTCTCATTTTTCATTTAATCTTTTTTTTCTGAACAGAGAGTTTCTTTTATTTTGATACGTTATCTACCAATCAATTTAGGAATGCCAAATGAAATACCTTTGAGTTACCTAAATAGCAGCAGCTGTTTCTTTCCCTTATTTGTTTTTCCAGTGCAGGCGGAAAGAAGTCAGAAAAGTCTGTCACAGGTGTAAGGACAAAGAAGCTACCTGGATTTAGGCGCTGAAACATTTTGGCAGGCCAGAGGTGGTCCAGTGGTTTGAAGCTGTAGCAGGTCGCACCAGCAGCTGGTGTTGTGGTCCAGGCCTGTGGGGCTCAGTGAACGAGGACGGGCAGATAGTGTTTGAGAAGCAGGATTGCCCCCATGGGGGATGGGATCCTGAAAGTCTTCGTCCACCCGCTGTGCCCACAGGCAGGACCATGCCGGTGGGACTGGCTTCGCCCCTTCTTGGAGCACCAGTTTCAGCCCGGCCTCCTCCACAAGGGCCAGGCTCCTCTTCCTCCATTGCTAGCTCTGCGCATCTCCACCCAGCCACTTTCCACGCTTCTTCCCCCTGGAGCCTTCAGACAGGGCAGCTCACAGAGCCGGAGAAGTCATGCTTCTGTGATAAGACCACAAAGTACTTGAAGACACAGCTTGGTGCCCTTCAACTCTATTAGACTACAACTCCCACAATCCCTGAACAACATGGAAATTGTAAGGCAGCACATCTGAACTAGAGCTCCTTCCATCAAATTGATCAAGGGTTATCCTCAGTAGGTACCTGATCACAGAATCATGGAATAGCAGAGTTGGAAAGGGCCAGGAAGGCCATCAAGTCCAACCCCCTGCTGTTGTAGGACACCAGTTTACACCATCCCACTCAGATGGTTGTCCAGCTTCTTTTTGAATGCCTCTAGTATGGGAAAGCCCACCACCTCTCTGGGCAGCTGGTTCCACTGTTGTATTGCTCTGACGGTGAGGAAGCTTTTTCTGATATATAGCCTGAACCTGGGTTGCCGCAACTTGAATTGATTATTCCATGTCCTGCACTCTGGCATCAGCAAGAAGAGATCTTGACCTTCTTCTTTGGGACAGCATTTGAGGAACTTATAAAGGAATATTATGTCCCCTCCTCCATCTTCTCTTCTCAAGGCTGAACATGCCAGTTCTCTCAGTCTCTCCTCACAGGGCAGTGTTTCCAAACCCTGGATCATTTTTGTTGCCCTCCTCTGGACCCTTTCTAATGTTTCTGCATCTTTCTTAAATCATGGTGCCCACAACTGGACACAGTATTCCAGATGAGGCCTGACTAGTGAGGAGTATAGGGGAACTATTAACTCTTGTGATTTGGAAGTTATACTTTTATTAATGAACTCCAGCGTAGCATTTGCCCTTTTGGCAGCTGCAATGCAATATTGGCTCATATTTAGCCTGTTGTCCACAATAACACCCAGGTCTTCTTCAGTTCTGTTGAGCCACGTATTCCCCATCTTGTGTGGATGCCTTTGGTTTCTCTTTCTAGGTGGAGGACTTGACCCTTGTCCTTATTGAATCCCCTTCTGTTGCTTTCAGCCCAGCGTTCAGGCTTAACAGGAGTGCCCTGGCTCTTCTTTCTTTCTTTCCTGGCTCTTCATTTCTTTCTTCTTTCATTCTTTCAACCCTGTTTTGTATCATCCATACATTTATCAGGCCTTGTACTTCCTCATCTACATCATTCATAAAGGTGTTGAACATGAGTGGACCTAGGGCTGAGCCCAGCAGCACCCCCTCGTTGCCATTCTCCGGTTTGTGCAGGTGCCATTGCTGAGCCCTCTTTGTGTCTGATTTAGCAGTCTATTTTGGCTTCGCCTAGTAGTTTTTCTGTCTAGCTCCCTGTGTTTCCACACAGAGGGCTGCTGGTGCTACAAGTGAGAAGGCATCGTGTAGGTATTACACGATTTCTTTCTTAACACATTTTCTGTGGTAAAGAGAGAAGATGAGCACTGAGGTAACATGGGAGAGTTATGAGTGGGAAAGAGTGAGCCATTTTGCCCCTGTAAAACTGAGTGAGCAAGGCTGGGCCATGGTACCCTAAGACTGTCATCTGGAAGCATCCTATCTTATCAAAGAAACCCCAAAACGTCCACAAATATGCCTTTGAAATTTGAAAAAATTTAATTGGAAATAAAATTGGAAAATTGAAATTTGTGCTTTGTAATCTATTTGCCCATTCCCAACTTTTCTTTCCAGGTTAGAGCTGTCAAAGAATTTGAAGAAAATCAGAGGAAAGTTGAATCTCTTCTCCAATGGGTGGCTTATTTGGAGCATCGCAAAGACGTTGCAGGCCAGCTGTACCCTGTGGAACAAGTAGCTGGAGATGGAGGAGTCCAAGATACTCTTGATGGCCAATTGATGGCAATGGACAGAGCTGAAGAGGATCTCAGTTTGTTCTACGACAGCTTGAAGGTGGGAGGAATTGCTGGATGGAGGGTTGCATGAAAGACTTGGGTTAAAATCCCAACCAAGCTATGAATCCCTTTGCCGTTAACATTTCCTCGCCAGTTGGAAGAAGCCCCCAGGGCCTGAGACTAGGAAGTTTTGATTTGCATTCGCCATATGCCTTTGCAGAAATACTGAAAAATATAAAACCAGCATACTAAGAGCAAGAAGACAACACATAGTCATCATATATATAGAACAATGCCAAAATTTGAACAAATGAATCTTTAAAAATTACAATTTTGAATCATGCTCAACCTGATTTCAATTGCTACTGCTAAAAATTTAGCTGACCGTGCAATCACCTACTTGTCCTGGTCGGCAAGAAGAAATACACAGAAGTCAGATGAAGGACTGACTTCTTAGCCAGCAGGGGGCAAATTAACTCAGGCCTGGGAGATGTGCAGAGCTGTGGAAATGCCTCCTTGTCCTGAAGGTCGTGAGGCTTTCCTCTCTGGCCCAGAGGGGCCAGGTTCTGATTTGGAGGTGCCCGTGTTAAATGCTGCTTTCATGTTTTTCAGGTTCACCACCAAGAGCTTCTCTCTCAGCAGCAAGATGTCATTCTGACCACGCGGTCAGCCCAGGCCTTCCTGGACAAGCAGGGCCACAATCTCATGCCAGAGGACAAGCAGGGCCTCCAGGGGAGGCTGGAGGGGCTCAAGGACCGGTATGCCTCTGCTTTGTCTCAGGCAGAGGTGCAGCTCAAGCGAGTGCAGGCACTCCGTGATGAGCTGCAGAAGTTTTTGCGGGACCAGGTGGAGTTCGAGGCTTGGCTTGAGCAGGCCGAGCAGCAGCTGGAGCAGATGCACGAGAGAGATGGCAGCCTGGAGTCCCTCCCGCCCCTGCTCCAGCAGCAAAGCCGCTTCTCCGAAGATGTGCTCTCCCACAAGGGGGATCTGCGGTTTGTCACTATGTCAGGGCAGAAGGTGCTGGATGCAGAGAAGACGGTGGCTGCCGAGGGCGGAGGGCTGTGTGTGCCAGCCGTTGCAGCCACGGGGGCCCTGGTGAGGAGCAAGCTGGACAGCGCCACCACGCGATACGGCGCGCTCCACAGCAAGGTACCAAGACTGAGCGGCTCTGCTGCTGGCTGGTGGGCCTGGACCTGTGGCTCGCACAGTGTGGCCTCATTCCTTCAAGGGGAGGGCGTGCAGGGGGGCTGAACCAGGAGCTTTCCAGGAGTGGGAAGCGGGGCGGAGGCAAAGGGGCAGGCCAGATGCCAGAAAGAGCAGAAGAGGGTGGCTCAGTTGTCTTACTGGCAGTAGCTAAATTTCAGCCTCTATACTAAGGAAAAACCTGGGAGCATCTGGTGAGCCCCAGAAGAGCCAGAGTGGGACTCTGGGTTTGAGGTAATGCTCGGGTGTACCCCTGTTGGGGCACCGACATGTCATTACCTGCGCAGGTAGCCGTGAGGACTGCAACGTGTCAGAAGGTATGCTTGCTAGTGTCTTGTGAGCCCACAACCAAGTGAGGCTGTCCGTCTGTACAGCCGCCTCTATCATGAGGCCGTTTCAGTGGGTTTTCTCGAACTGCTTCTTATCTGCATGCGTGGGCCATGGGGTCTCCCTGTGTGTTGTCAGGTGTGTGCCCCGAAGTGTGCCATCCTCTTGGGTAAGAGAAGCAAACTAAACAGAGGTAGAGGGCGAAGCGTTTCCGCCTTGCATGGTCTACATCTGTTTTTGTCTTTTTTCACTCGATCACTCGCACCTGCTAGCTTTGAGAGCAGGACGCCCAGCCGGGGTTGCCTAACTGTGAAGGCCTAGCTGGCCTACGTAGCGTGGCCCCAGGTATGCACGTGCACCTGGGAGGCTCCGGCGGCATCCAGCCGGCCCTCTCGTCCAGCCTTCTCTGCGACAATCGGAGATGGCTGCCGATATGGAGTGGGAATTGGGCGAGGGCTGCCAGCGGACTCTGGCCTGCAGCCTGTGCCTGGCCACCGGCCGCCCTGCGCCTGCTGTCAGGCACCCATGGCCCCTGCCCTGTCTGCCCCCACCTGTTTTGCAGTGTTCCGCCTTTGGCTCTCACCTGAGCGTGCTGCTGGATCGCTCCCAGCGGTTCCAGGAAGTGGTGGCATCTCTCAGGCCGTGGCTGCAGGAGAGCGAAGGGGCGGTGGCAGACCTGCTCCTGGAGCCCATCTCCCCAGACCCAGCCGTCCTGCAGAAGCAGCTCGCCAGTGCCAAGGTGAGGCCGGGCGGCTCCAGGCCAGGCACCTCTGAGGTGCCAGGGGTTTCTTGCTCAGCACCCCCAGAAGCCAAACAGACCACGTGGCACAGGTCTGCCGTTTTGCTTGCTGGGGACTTACTTGCCACATGGCTGCCAGCCAGCCTACCGTGCAGGGAGGGGTTGGTGTATGACCTTGGTGGGACTGGCCCCTTTCTGCAGCCACAGAACGTGTGACGTCTGCATGCAGGAGTCCCAGTGCATGGAAAAGGGTGTTTTCCTCTGTGCGGACGAACCGCAGCTGGGTTGTACATTCTGGGATTGGGGTGCGGTGGTGCTGAGTGGCACAGGGTGCATCCCTCTGCAGAAATGAGCTGCCAGCCCTTGGTGCAGCCCCGGTGCTTCTGCTCTCCTCTCACATGCTCTTGCTCGGTTGGAACAGCACCTGCAGGAGGACCTTGCTGAGCATCAGGTGCCTGTGGAGAAGCTTGAGAAGGCAGCGCAGTCCCTCCTGGAAATTCAGAACTCGCCTGTACCTGACTGCAGGGAGATTCGGCAAACCACAGGTAATGGTGGAGATTGGAGAACCTTCCTTGGGGCCAGCTGTCCTGCAGGCCTTGTTCTGAGAACTCCCCAGGGAATTGTGGGAATGGGAAGAGACACTCCGAGTTCTCGTGCCATGTGCCCAGTGGCCTCAGGCTCCAGAGAATGGTGGCATTTCTGGAAGAGCCCTTGCAGCCGGGATTTTGCCCTTCGACCGCTGTAATCTTCCTGCGTGGCGTCTGCCATTTGTCTGGTGCTCTTTCAGATTCCATGGTGAGCTGCTTCCAGCGCCTGTCTGCCCAAATGGCAGAGCATGCAGACCTTTTGCAGAAGTCCATTGCACAGTCTCAGAGCGTCCAGGAGGGGCTGGAGAGCCTCCTTCAGTCCATGGCAGAGATTGAGAAAAGTCTCCAGAAGAAGGACATGGCTGCCTTCTCCTCCACCTCCCTGCAAGAAGCTCTCGCCACAAACATGGTAAGAGCATTTCCTTAGTTTCCCGTCACTGGTTTCCTTTGCAAAATCAGAGCTTGTCATCTGCATAAATGTATTCTCAGAGCAATAAGAGCTGCATCAGAAACTTGCCAATTCCCATATTTTCAAGATGTCCTAATGTTTCTGTCGCAGCCGCAACACACAGCACATCAGCCTGGTTCAGGTGAGGCGAGGAGTCTTTCTGCTTTGTTCTTGTCGGTGGGTTGTCCGGTTGTGCAAATGCAGCCCAGGTCACCCGGCTGAGTGGCTTTTCCACACAGCCCACCCTGAGTGTCCCAGGGTTGTTGGCACCCACCGCGGATCATTGCATTGTCCAGACCGAGATGACAGAGCCTACCGTGGGTGAGCGCCAGTGAACAGCAAGCCACCGGGCGAGAGCAGCAAAACTCTCTCCCCACTCTTGGCAGGCAGGCTCCAGAGTGCCTGAGCAGCACGTTGGAGGGGCTTCGCTGTCTGCAGTGACGTGCGGCAGCTGTCCTTGCGGGTGCCTCAGGGGAGACCTCCCCGGGTGCCTGCAGAGATTCCCACGATCTGCGCCTCCTTGCCAAGGCAGCCCCGTGTGGCTGGTTGCAGTGGAGTGGGTGCCCCGGCACCGCCCTGAGCTGCTCCCGGGGACTGGCTGGCTGGGGCTGTTCCAGGAGCAGCCGGCTGGCTGGCCGGCCAGCCCAGCAGATGGCCTCCTGTGAGAGAGCCTCTCGGACACGCTCATCCCTCCCGGGAGTCCCCTGGAGTGCTGCTGGGAAAGGAGCAAGGCCACCACACTGCCACCGCCCGTCTGTTCACCACAAAGGGCTGTGTTACTAGCACCTCAGCCGTGGGCTTCGCCATGCGTCTCCCATTCTACCTGGCTGATGGTCTCTCTGGCTTGGCCTTTCCCAACCTGGCGCCCTCTGTACATGTTCAGCTGCAGTGCTCATGAGCCCCAGCCAGCACAGAGTGATCTGGAACAGTGAGAGCTGCAGTCTGAGACCTCTGCAGTGAACCAAGGGAATAGGGGCCTGCAGAAATCCGAGTCTGCCAGTCAAATCTACTGCGGAAAGAGCTGGAACCCCAGGAGGGTGGGAGAAGAACAGAGGGGCGCAACACCCTTCCCCAGCGCAGGGGGCATGTCCCTTGGGAGACCGTTTTTGGCACTCCTGTCTCCTTGCTTGCCTGCCATGGGCACCTGGTCATCCCCAGATCCTTGTCAGACCTGTTTGGGGGCCCTTATCCAAACCTTTTGTTAAAGCATGCGGTGAATCGACCTGCAGTTAGTACGAGCGTGCGAGCCAGGACTTTGCATGGGGCTGCCGGGATCCCACTGTGGGACCGGCTTTTCTGGGTATTTGACGATGGCTGTGGCTCCACCAGCCTGCCCACGGTGTGGGCTGCCGTGGGGCCTGTGAGTGCGCTGCAGCGCATCTTCTGCCCCTTTGTGCTGCTTCCGCAGAGCACGGTCCCTCACCCTTCCCTTCCCTTCCCTTCCCTTCCCTTCCCTTCCCTTCCCTTCCCTTCCCTTCCCTTCCCTTCCCTTCCCTTCTGC